CAGGCAGCACGGACTGTAGCCACCCCCTTGGCTCCTCGGAGAGACGGTTTCTCCCGGGGTGTGTGTTAACCCGTGGCACCAAGGAGGTCTGGGGACTGCAGAGCCGTACCCACATTTGCTTAGGGCGCGACCTTGGCCCCATTCCTCAGCCCTGTATGGCATCCTGGGGGGGTTTGAGGGGCCTGCGTAGCATGAGGGACTAAGCTGCATGGCCCTTGTCTCCTCCTTGCTCCAGGGCCCCCCACCGTTCCCCCCCTTGCCCCCTCCCTTCCCAGTGCTACGGCAGTAAATGCTCTCCATGAGCAGCATGTTCCCCTTTCCCAGCACCTGGCTTGTTTTTTCAGCAGCCAGTTGGCTCAGACCTTTTGGCTTCTGGTAACAGATGGCCGAGCCAGTGGCCATTTCATGGGTCTTTTTCTTTTATTTTTAAAGGCCGTTGTGCAGAGATAAGGATCAGGCTTGTGTTTGGAAGGCAGGGCCCTCCCCTGGTTCAGAGAATAACTTTGGGAAGGGCTTATTTACAAGGAGGATCTGGACAGCTGTTTAGAAAGCCAGGGATGTCTGAGGAAGCGTATCCCTGCCACACCTGTTACCCAGAGATTTGTGTACTGGAGGGAGACACAGGTCTGACTGGCTTCTGCTGGGCCAAGGGATGCTGCAGAGGGTAGGATAATGGCTGGCCCCTTACAGAGCCAGAGCATTTCTGAGGCGGGGGCTTTTGCAGCCCTCCTTGGCCCTGTTCCATCAAAATGCCTGAGTGCATGCAGCGCTGGGATGCTAGGCTGGGTCCTGTTGTTGTAGCTGGCATTACTTAGGCAGGCACTGCCCCGTGCACGGTCAGAGTGCTCGGTTTGCCAGAAAGCAACACAGCCCCAATGAAGTGGTCCCTTCCCATCCCCTTTCTAGCTGCAAGTGGCCACAGCCTTTGGACAACAGTGGGACTGGCCCTGAAAGCCTAGGTGGGCATTTTGAGAGCGGGCATAGGCTGGGCATCTTCAGATCTGCCTCATAATTCAGGGAAGGGCAGGGGCTCAATGTGCCCCGAACAGGGCACTGTGAGCACTGTGCCAACCCTGCTGGGGTCTTACAATTGCAGACTGGTTTGTTCAAAGCTTGTCAGCCCAGTGGGCAGAGCACTGGGCTGGGTCTCAGGACTTTTAAAACTTTGGGAAATCCCACTCGTGCAAACAGACATGCAGTTGCAGTGCATGAAAGGGCAAATATCGTGGTGTGTACATGTACCCCTGGGTCCTATAAGCACTTGGCCACTGGCCTGGGTGGATGTGACCTTGGGAAACTCCATGCTTCCATTCCCCCATCTGCAGTGTCCCTGAGCTCCTTTGAGATCTGCCAGTGAAAAGCACAGAGCCAGCGCAAGGTGCTGTCTCCCTGCAGGTGGCGAGTTAGCGCCTGCTCTTGAATTCCTGCCTCCTCTCTTAGGGAGAAATTCAGCCCTGTGCAGAGGAGCTGGCATGCAGCTCAGAGCAGGGCTTATGTAGCACATTTTGCTGCCTCTGCATAGGGAGAGATCTTGCTTGGAGAGGAGCACATCTCACACCTAGATATCAGCTGTGTCAGTGCCTGGCGGATCTGGCTCGCAGGCTGGCATTCCCAGCCAGTTTCCCCCTAAGAAACAGCCCCTGACAGCTCAGATATTGATTGGGGGCAGGGCAAGGGGCTGGAGTTCATCCTTTCTTCCCCGTTCTCCCTGCTCGGGTGGTTTGGGAAGGGCAGTTCTCGCTGATCCCAGGCTTTTATCTACTTGGCTGCACTTTGGCGAGGCGGGGTGGAAGGCCTTCTTCCCCTCTTTGCAGTCTGGGTGATTTATGGCATGCCTGCACTCTGGAAAATGCTGGGGACAGGTGGCAACGAACAGAGTGGGGTCGGCACAGCGGGGCTGGGAAAAAGATTCCTGCAAAGCCAGAGGCCTCCTGGAGAGCTGGCAGCTCCGTAGGTTGCAGGCCCCAATTCTCCTTAATGCAAGGCACAAGGAACATCTGAGATGCCCAGAGAGGGATGTGATGGGGGAGAAAGGAACCGTGACCATGCATGCAGAGCTCATCCTGAGAGAAGGCAGCTGGGTGCTGCAGGCGAGGGCTGGAGCAGGAAGGGCAAACTCCCGTCCCAGGCGGGGCTCCAAAGCCTTGTCGCTAGATAGCAAGATGGGGGGTGGGAACCGCTAGACAGAGCTCACCACTTCCTCCTTCCTGTCTCCTGCATCACCAGCATGCATTCAGTCCCCTCGAGGCTGCAGTTGGGCCTGTCTGGGTGTCCGGCTGCGGGAAAATAGCACCTTGTCCTTCGGAGCTGGTGCAGGCTGCGCCGTGCCCAAGCACTGCAGAGTGCTTCCTGGGCATTCGCTAGCCCCGCAGATCCCTCATCCACTGCTACAGGCTGGAGATGCCCCTCTCGGGTCACGGGTCCAGCTGTGACTTCGCTTTTTGTGCCCTGGCAGTTACCAGGGAACGTGCCCAGGGCTGGGTGCTTCCAGCACCTGCCTACACAGCCTGGACCACCCTTGGCTCTTAGGGTATCTGGCCCGTCCAAGAGCTCCCCCATTGCCTCAGCCTCAGAGAATTCGGGGATGAGAAGCGTGCCCTTGCTGTTTCAGGGTCACGGGTGGCTCTGACTCCCTGTCCTTTGCTCTCCCCAGATGTAATGTTGCCCACGTGGGCGAGCGGTGCCAGCTGCCCAACCCCTGCCTCAGCTCCCCCTGCAAGAACGCCGGGACCTGCCACCCCGTCGTGCGTGGCAGCACCGTGGACTACACCTGCACGTGCCGGCTGGGCTTCACTGACAGCCTCTGCCTGACACCCGAGGAGAACGCCTGTCTCAACAACCCCTGCCGCAACGGGGGCAGCTGCGACCTTCTCACCCTCACCGAGTACAAGTGCCGCTGCCCGCCCGGATGGTCAGGTAGGGGCAGGAGTCAGCAGAGCCCCGGGGGGGCTGGGTTGGAGCCCAGCACAGAGCAGGACAGCTTCAGTGCCAAGCCCCCCCTCAACACAGACTGGGGGCCATGGGTTTGGCACAGCCCCTGGCTTGCTTGCTAAGAAGACTCTCCTTGCAGCCTGGAGGCCACTACTTAATCAAGGGCGATGGGGCCTGGCAGAGAGATGCTGGGCGCTGCCCCCTGCATCTCACTGCCTGAGGGCACTGCTCACAGACCTAAATCTCCTCCCTGCCCTGGAGTTGCAGGCTGTGGTACAGGCAACCAGGGCTGCAGCTGCTGTCTCGCATGCCTTGCATGGGTGTTGTAGGTCCTAGTTGGTGTGCGGGCTTGTCTGTCATGTATGTGCAAGGTGCCAGGGCTGCCTGCTGCGGCTGGGGTGCTGCCTGAGCAGGGATGAACGAATGCAACGGGCCTCAATTGATGGTGGATTAGTGGGGATGCGGTGACAGGGCCCTGGAGTTGCAGCTGCCTGGGGTTGCTCAGTGCAAAAGGCCTCGAGAAGGGCCCTTCCCATGCCCATCTTCTCTGCTTGCCCCCAGGTAAGACCTGCCAGCAGGCTGACCCCTGCGCCTCCAACCCCTGCGCCAATGGTGGGCAGTGCGTCCCCTTCGAGGCCCACTACATCTGCAAGTGCACGGCTGGCTTCCACGGGGCCAACTGCAAGCAGGACGTGAACGAGTGCAGCCTCTCGACTCCTGTCTGCAAGAACGGCGGCATCTGCACCAACGAGGTCGGGACTTACCAGTGCTCCTGCAAGCCTGCCTACACCGGCCAGAACTGCGAGCTCCTCTACGTGCCCTGCAACCCCTCGCCCTGCCAAAATGGTGGCACCTGCCGCCAGACCGGCGACACCACCTACGACTGCACCTGCCTCCCAGGTACGTGCCTGCTCGCTCAGATGAGCCACGGGTCACCAGCTCCGGGCTGGGCCGTGCCCTGCCACTGACTCCTTGAGAGACCTCAGCAAGTCCCTGAGGGTTGGGCTCTGGTTTTACAAGGGTAGCTGAGAAGCTAAATCCTGAAGCTAAAACCGAGCGGGCAGAATTCATCCTTGTTTACTGGAGCCAAGCCCCACTGCAGTGCCATGAGGTCCCCTGGAGCCGGGGCAGGGGCTGAGCTGGCCCCTCCACATCCCTGACCTCAGGGGGATCTTTTGTTTCCATCACCACGCCGTGCTGTGGTCAGAGTTTGTGGCTGGGGGAGAGCAGGTGTAACCTGGCTCAGCCACGTGAGGCATCTCCCCAGCTTCCTCCCCACATCAGTGCAGGGAGCCCCGAGAGACGGAGCAAGGCAGCACGGGAGTTTCCTGCCCGCCAACAGCCCAATGGCATCTCACTTTTCCCTCCGATCGGCCTCCTCCACCTGCCTCCGGTAGACCCAGCAGGAGGAAGCATCTGCCCTCTCCCTGGGAAAGGCAGTACCAGCTGCCGGAGGCGCCTGGGAAATCTTTGATGGGTGCAGGGGGAGGCCCGAGGGTTTGCAGCTTCCTGTTGTCACCAGCAAAGCACCACGGTTAGTGAGGAGAGCAGAGAACAGGTTCGTGGCACCTCCTGCTTTTCAGCCCTGCCCCCTCTCCTGGCTCGCTTTGTGACCTCAGTGTCCTCTTCTGTAAAATGGGGAGAAGGGTGGTACCGGGACTGGATGCAAGGTCCGGCTGCAGGCCCAGGCACTCCTGAGGAAGGGGTAAGGCAGACGGCATTGGGATCGTGGGCCCCGCACCAGGTCTGCCTCTGCTCCGAAGCCGGAGGGCTGAGAGCTCTCCTGAAATGGCTGTTGCTGTTAGTGCCCTGGATAACCTTGATGTGCATAGCAGTGTGCAGTCCCTGCCAGAGTTTCCTGCTCTTTCTGTGCCTCGCCTGCCTCCCAGGCCTGGGCCAAAGCCCCTTTCCTTCACCCTTACAAGAAGTGCAGGGGGCTGCAGTAGCCGCATGCAAAGCGGTTGCTGCCCATGTCTGTGGGCAGCAGGACCACCCATGGGAAGCGGGCAGCTCCATGGCGTCTGCCTGGCAGGGGTGAGTTGCCCCATCAAGGGCCTGTGAGAGGGCAGAGGGATGGTGGTGCAGGGACCCAAGTGGCACATGCACTGATTTGGGGGAATGGGTCCTCTTGGCCCCTGGCAGGACAGGACAGGAGGGCCTGGGCTCTGGGACCTGCAGCCGCGGCCGCAAGGCACTGAACTGTTTTGCCAGGGGTCAAACGTGACCACGGCTTATTGCTGACCGCTCTCTGGGGCCAAGTGCTGACCTCAGCACCTCCCACGGATGAGGCCCGGCTGAAACGTGTCTGGCACGGCAAGTGCACGCTCTTTCTTGCAGGGGCCTGTAGGATTGGAGGCCATTTCTCATGATAAGATACCGCTCGATGTACCGGTATGCAGCGTGGCAGGGCGTCAAACAATGTCCCCTTTCAGTGTCCAGAGAGGCCTGTGGGCTCGGGGCTCCCGAGAGCCAGGCCAATCTCATCTGAGCTATCGAGCCAGCTCTGCCGCACGTAACCTTGCATTTAAAGCAGCTGCCGCGCTCATAACTCATTCAGCTGGTTCAAAAGGAGTTAATCCCGGTATCGGGAACGCTGCAAGCTATTGCCATTCAGCTGCTTAAAAACGAGGAGCAAATCAGCCTTATCTGCTTTGGACTGGTCCCAGCAACCATAAATAGTTGGTTATTGCTTTACATACGGGCCAGGCCGGGCGCTGGAGGGAGGAGAACAAGGCCGTCATTGATAGAGAGATGCGGGACGAGCCCGGGGCTGGGAGCCGGTGGGTCCTGAGTTCTAATCCTGCCTGTCACTCCCCCTCTCTCTGGCCTCAGTGTCCATGCCCCAGGTCTGTGGGGTGTAAACCAGGGGTGATGGAGCTAATGTGCATCTCTGAGCCTGTCAGGGACACTGCAGAAGGGGTCTGGTGGGATAGGCAGCCCTTTGGAAACCCTGCCCCTTGAAGAGTGCTTGCCTGGATGAAGCAGCAGCAAGGAAAGCAAAGCACGGCTGTCTGGGGGCTGTGGCTGGGGTCTTTGCTGGCACAATGAAATGAAGCCAAGTATTAGCGCAACGCATGCAGGAGACTGGCCTCTGGGCCTGTCCTCTCCTGAAGCTCGGACGTTAAGAGGAGGTTGGATGACCACCTTACCGGGGTCGTTTGACCCCAGTGCTCTTTCCTGCCATGGCAGGGGGTCGGACTAGATGATCTGCTCAGGTCCCTTCCAACCCTAGAAACTATGAAACTATCCCTATCCTGACCTGTTCTCTAGCCTACTTGCCTGTGCAGAGCGGCCTTTTGGATACCCAGTGAGTCCCAGTTAGGTTGTGCAGCTGGTTGTGGCAGGTTTAAGCCAGTGGCCACCTAGTTAAAATACAGCGCTTGGCACAAGCCGCTGCTGACGCAGCACGCCGGTTTGGGGAAACCTGTTTGATTGCAAACCGGAGGCGGGATCTTCCTGCACCTGCAAAGTGCAGCTTCTGCCTGGCCCCAGCTCCCTGCAGCCCTGGCTGTGCCGCAGACTGTTTACAGTCAATATAGTACTTCACCTCCTAAGAAGGACAAGCACCTGCTGAAAATGTTCGGGCACTGGGAGGAAGGTGACTGCCAGACAGGATCTGAGCATCCCAGGGAGCAGGGACCGCGCACATGGGTTCTGCCATTGGATGAAGGGGATGAAGAAGAGAAGAGCTTCAGCCCAGGGCTGGAGTCAGGCAGGTGCACACCTCAATCTAAGCATCTCAGGGATTGAGTCCTGTTTCATCAGCCCCAGCCAAACGGATAGGAGCTGGGGCAGCTCTGCCAGGCAGGCCTGGCTCATAGAAGGGCTCGTCCCGTGGCCCCGGCGGCTGCAGCTTGGCTAATGCCCGCGGTTAGTGACAGCGTGTGCGCCTTGTTGCAATGAACCTGCTTCTCATCAGTAAGCCTGCGAAGGCAGCCGGGGCAAAGATGAAATGCAGCGGCTTTCTTCAAAGCCAGGGAGAGAAGCTCTGACGGGCTGCGCACGTTAATCAGTAACTGCCAGCGGCCGCCTGCCCCGGGGCAGCTCGTTGGCACCTGCACCATGAGGTTTGCTTGTTCGTTATTGCACTAGAAGAATCGTTAACTGGGCGCTGTCTAGAGAGGCTGGTGCCTCTGGAGCACCGGGGCAGAGCAGGGCCTGGCACTGACCCTCGCACCTGCTGCTTCCCCAAACTGGGCTGAGCCACAGCTGTCGGGTGGTGCTCGGCCCCAATGGAATAATTAGGCTGAGGTCACGCGGGGTAGGCCCGATCTTGATGGGTCTCAAGCCATGGTAATGCCATTAGGTCTCCATTTTGATATACGGGCTGCTGGACAGTCCCGTGAGAAGCCGCGTGCCCTGGAGCGGAGCAAGCAGCATTTTATGGCAAAGTGTTTGTAGTGGAGTAGGGCACTGTAGTGGATGGAGCCGACCCCAAACCCTATATCCCACCTGCTGCCCTTTGGTCCGGGGCAACCGATGTGTATCTTAAGGCATGAGCGTGCAAACGGCCCGACGCACTGCTTGGGCAGCCACAGATTGCGTGTAGCAGCCGGCACCGGTGCGTCGCGAGGCCGGCTGGTTTAGATGCCTCCTTTCCTCCTCCAGGCTTCACTGGGCAGAACTGCGAGGAGAACATCGACGACTGCCCCGGGAACAACTGCAAGAAAGGTGGTACCTGCGTAGACGGAGTCAATACCTACAACTGCCAATGCCCTCCCGAGTGGACAGGTACCGCTGGGATACGGAGAGCACGCGGCCCTGGGTGGGGGTAGGGGTAAGCACAGAGTCTGACTCTGCTCCAGCTGAGACTCATGGCAGTGTTTTCCTGAGCTGGAAAGGGAGCGAAATCCACCCAGCAATCCACCTAGGGCAGATTTTGAGTCATCTCCTGCCTCCAGCCATGCTGCAGAGGGTGGCAAAAGGCCCCTTGCCTTGTCTCTGGGCAGGCTGCCTGTGTCACGGGGGGCAGGAAGCATCCTTCCTGACCCCAGTGGGGGAACGCCCAGCGTCTGTGCAGGAGCACACGAGTGGGGTGCCCCGTGTTAATATGTCAGGCCTCACCGGTGTGCCGCCATCCCTGCCCCGCAGGCCAGTACTGCACCGAGGACGTGGACGAGTGCCAGCTGATGCCGAACGCCTGCCAGAATGGGGGCACCTGCCACAACAACCACGGCGGCTACAACTGCGTCTGCGTCAACGGCTGGACTGGCGAGGACTGCAGCGAGAACATCGATGACTGTGCCATGGCCGCTTGCTTCCAGGGTGCCACGTGTCATGACCGCGTGGCCTCCTTCTACTGCGAGTGCCCGCATGGCCGCACAGGTGAGGGCCAGCTCGGGCGGCTGACCGCTGCTCTGTAATCCTGAGCTGTGGGATAGGTCTGCTGGAGGCAGGGGGGTTCCCTCAGGGAAGAATTTGACCCTCTGTCTGCAGCCAGAAAGAGCAGGCAGGTCCTGGGACACCTGGGTTTCCCCTCCCACCCTTTGTCCATCCCCTTCTGTTTAAGCTGTAGCTCTTTGGGGAGGGATATGTCGCATGCCATGCACAGCAGGGCCTGGGTGCCGAGCCGGCCTCTGGGCACTGCCACAATGCTTGCACCCGAGCCGGTCCTGAGATGCTGACGTGCTGTCCTCTGCAGGTTTGTTGTGCCATCTGGACGATGCCTGTATCAGCAACCCCTGCAATGAGGGCTCCAACTGCGACACCAACCCTGTCAACGGCAAAGCCATCTGCACCTGCCCCTCCGGCTACATGGGTCCGGCCTGCAACCAGGACGTGGACGAGTGCTCCCTGGGTATGTGCGTGGGCTGCTGGGCAGCTGAGACTGGCAAGGGGGGTGGGGAGGGCATCACGCAATGCAGCTGGAGATCCTAGACCTCATGGTTGCAAGCGTCCTAGACGCTTTTATCCAAGGTATTTCTCATTGGTAGGAGCCAACCCCTGTGAGCACGCTGGGAAATGCATCAACACGCAGGGCTCATTCCAGTGCCAGTGTCTCCAGGGGTACTCGGGCCCCCGCTGCGAGATCGATGTCAACGAGTGCCTCTCCAACCCCTGCCAGAATGATGCCACCTGCCTGGATCAGATCGGCGAGTTCCAGTGCATCTGCATGCCAGGTGGGCACCCAGGCCAGCCTTGCTCTCTCCCCTAAGCCAAGACCCTGCCGTTGCCTCTGGAGCTTTGGTCTGGGCGAGTCGTGCATTCAGGAATCGGGGCCGTGGCTTAGTGGCGAGGACGACTTGGCAATCCACATGTTTTCAAACTCGCCATCAGTGGTATGATGGGGTCTAGGGACTGTGGCTAGTTGAGGCTTTCACCGCAGCCATCCTGGCTGGGTGCTGGTCCCCACTCCAGCTGGGGGTTGCATAGCTAAACCTGAGAACCAGCTTCAAAGGCCAGCCCTGCCCCAACCCAGGTGAGCTGGTTGGGCCCTGAGGGTCTGACCCAAAGGCCGTTGGCAGGTGAGGGACCTCAGCAGGCCCATGCGGAGCTGGCTGGCCTGTCCTGCCACTGGTTTGTTGACGGATGAAACTCAGAAGCAGCCTGCCCTCCGGCGCTGGTTTTGCATTCAGTAAAGAAACCTTGCATGGAGATGCCACGGGCCCGGGAGCACGGCAGGGACAGGGGAACTGGGAAGGGCCTGGGGTGTGCAGCCAGCAGGGATCAGACCAGGAAACCCTTTAGTCCAGGGCCAGTGGGAAAACGGCCAAAGCCAGCTGCTTCCAGGGAGGGAGCTGGCAGCCCCAGCATGCAACGATGGGCTAACTGGCCCATAGAGAAGGCTTCTCCCTCACCCCATCAGCCTTCCCCTTTCCCAGCGGGCACTCTGACCCTGCTCTGCTAGGGGAGCAGTGGGTGCGCACCCCGCAGCAGAGCGGGCTGCTGTCCCCCTGCCCAGCCCATCAGCACCGCGAGCCGACCCCATGCCCGGCGCAGCAGAGCGGTCTCCCCTCCGCCCCCGGGCTGTGGCCCTGCAGACGCTAAGAGGGGCCGTGGGTCTGTCGCTCGCAGGTTATGAGGGCGTCTACTGCGAGATCAACACGGACGAGTGCGCCAGCAGCCCCTGCCTGCACAACGGGAACTGCGTCGACAAGATCAACGAGTTCCACTGCGAGTGCCCCACAGGTACGGGGGATCGATCGCTGCGCTGCCGGCAGCTGCCTTTGTAGTGGGAGCAAAGCTGGAAGTAATCCCCTGCCGGAGGCAGCGCCGGGCGGACGGATCCAGGCGCCGCAGGGCAGGGCAGGGCAGCTCTCCGGAGTGGGGTGGGAGGGGGGGGGCTCTCCTTTTGTTCAAAGCCTCCAGCTTTGGCGGTGTCAGCCCGCTCACCTAAACGCAGTGGGGGCCAAAAGAGCACCCGTAGGGGTGTCTGCCTCTCCCTCCTTGCATGCAGGATGTGTTATGGGGGGAGAAGAAGCACCACCTAGAAATCCTGCCCCCGTCGTCCAGATGGCTCATTCTGGGGAGAATTCAGTAGATTTAGGAGCTCCCTCAAAGGCAGGGAGCAAAGGACATAGAGGAGCCACATATGTCCTTTGCTCCCTGCCTTGCAGGGAACCCCTAAATCTCCCAAAGGTGGACGTGGGTGATCTAACGAACATGGATGATCTACAGAATGTGGATCTACCGAGTGTGGATGTGTGTGGGTGGACTTGCAACCATTATACTGTGTGTCATAGCCCCCATGCTACGAGGCGGATCTCCTTTAGAGGCAGGTGGACCCTGATGTGGGCATGGCCGTGCCCATGAGTTGTGAGGACTGTCAGCCTGCCTCTGTCCTAGTGAAGAAGCCAGGCCTTCTGCATGGCAGTTCCAGCTGAAAGAAGGGGCACGGGGGCTCCCTGCCAGCAACCCCCAGCCGAGCACCCTTCATCTCACTCCTGCTGCCAGCGCAGGGCTGTGGGGATGGGAAAGGGAATCGCGGTCCGGCCATTTGAGGCCCTTCCAGCTCTCAATGAGGGAGAAGGAGAGCGCGTGAGGATTAATACCCCCTCCCCAACTTTGCACTTGAAAAGGCCCCATTTGGGAGCGGGGGGGTGGGGAGCTGGGCCTGCAGCGGGTTTGAATGAGGTGTCAAAGTCACGGGGGAGAGCGGAGAATGGGGAGCCGGCTAATCTGTGAAAGGAGGTTTTGAAGTTCAGAGGCTTTGCTCCTCTAGAGATGTAAATAAGATGTTCTCAATGCTGGGTCACAGCCCCCCATTCACCGCCCCGCACAGCGTCTCTATGGGAACCCGCAGCCTGGGGTGGAAAATGTGGGATTGCAGCCCCGGCTCCGGGCTTGAGAGAGACTTTGATCGTCAGGGAAGTCGAGAGGCGTCCCCCAGAAGTGTCCATGGAGCCGGACTCGCACGCTCCCACCACCCCCTGCACCTCCAGAGCTCTTGTCCATGCCTGGGCTGGGTCCTGGGGAGCTTCACCTCTGAGATGGGCTGATGCCGAGGCTGGAGGAGCCCTGCATCTGTCCAGGCTGTCTGACCTGCACCTAGTGCTCGTGCGGGCTTTGGCCCCTCTGTATCCCACCCAGCCCATCAGTGCGGTGCAAATGACCCCTCTCTCTCGTCTTGTCCTCCCCCAGGCTTCAACGGGCACCTGTGCCAGTATGACATCGATGAGTGCGCCAGCACGCCCTGCAGAAACGGGGCCAAGTGCGTGGACGGGCCCAACACCTACACCTGCGAGTGCACCGAAGGTGAGAGGCGGCCATGGCGGCGAGGGCCTGGCGGTGTTGCCCATGGGAAGGAGGCTGGGAAGAGACTCCTTGGTCTCCTTCCTGGCCCTGTGATTCTTGGAAAGACCCTGGATCCATCGCCCATTGCCTCAAATCCCATGGGACCGGTCCAGTTCACCACGGGGAATTCTGCCCCCGCGTTTCACAGCCCCATGCCCAGCCTTTGATGGGTGCAAAGGGCTTTGACACACTTGGTCCAAGGGTCTAGCAGCCCTGGGACAGACTTGGCTTTCTCTCCAGCCTTGCAGCAGCTCATGTTCAGGCGGTCAGCTCAGCGTGGCCCAGACTGCTCTGGTCCCTTGTGCCTGTGCAGGGCCTGGCGCTATGGGGCACCTGGTAATGCAGCCAGAGTCCAGCCCATCCGAAAGCAGTTGCTCGGGGCTGCTCTCCCGCTCGCTGACACCCCCGCCTCCGGGTGCGACTGGAGCCGGGACATAAAGCAGCCGCTGTGCTGGAAGCAAGGCGCGGGCACCACGGGCCCGACGAGTGAGCCCGGAGGAGCGGCTGGACAAAATGATGACAGGCGCCCCAGTGGCGCACACTGGCTCTTTTGTGGAGCAGCTCCCGCCAGAAACCTTCCAGCTGAATGGCCTCTAATTAGTGTCCTGTGAATGCCAAGCCCCGATGAAAAGCTGCTATGTGGGTTTCATGGAGGGTCGTCAAAGCTGTACTTTGTGCTCCGCTCCCCACCCCCGGGGCTCCTGGGAGTGGAGCAGGGGCGCGCTATTCTCCCGGGGTGCGCGCGGCCCCCTCCTCCCCGTCGGATCCCGTGACGAGTGCCGCTGGGAGGCAGGCTGGCGGGTGCAGGGGCCGGCTCCCGCACGGAGCGAGCTTAATGCCCGTCATTGTGCCTCGCCGGGACAAAGCACAGCCGTCCTGGCTCTGAAAGCGGCTTCAGTTGGAGCGCCAGGGAGCGGCTTTTGTTCTCCGCGCGCTGGCTGCATTCTCCCGCCAGGCCCCATTGACTCCTCCGGGCTCGCGCTCCAGCTGACGTTGGGGGAGCCTGGCCGGGGAGAGGGGGGCGCTCGCAAGGATGGGCGGGAGCTCTCCGCGCTGCTTTCTCTCGCCGCGAGTGCTACCCTGGGCCCCCGCCTGCAAGGTCACCGGGGCCTTCCACTGAGGATGAGATGTCCCCAAACTTGTGCGAGGGATGAGGTCACTGGCCTCCTGTCCAAGGCTGCCACAAAGATGAGTGCCCTAAAGGATGTGAGGTGCCCAGGCACTACGCGGAGGGGGCAGATTGAGGGGCAGACCGCTTCCTCAGCCCAGCTCCCATCCCAGCTATGTGCAGGGGCAGCTGGCAAGGATGCCACCTCCCCAGCCAGCTCCCCGCAGACCCATCTGATGGACTATGTGTGCAGAGCCTGTTCCACGTACGCAGGCTCAGCTCGCAGAGGGGTGGCTCTGAGGCAGCCCGGGAAGTTGGGTAGATGGAAAAAAAGTCTCCTCATCTCCTGCCCTCTACCATGCCATGCCAGGGCCTCGGGAGAGGGGCCACAGGCATTCACGAGCCTGCTGGGGAGGGATCCCCTAGCTGCCCACAATGGGGAGCAGCGCATGCTAAACCCCGGTTGCTCCCCCCACCAGGATTCACTGGCACCCACTGCGAAGTCGACATCGATGAGTGCAACCCCGCCCCCTGCCACTACGGGACCTGCCGGGATGGCATCGCTGCCTTCACCTGCCTCTGCCAGCCAGGCTACACGGGCCATCGCTGTGACGTGAACATCAACGAGTGTCTGAGCCAGCCCTGCAAGAACGGGGGCACCTGCCAGGACCGGAACAATGCCTACAACTGCCTGTGCCTCAAAGGCACCACGGGTGAGGGGATCACCCATGGGAGACCCTGCGCTGGCGGTGAACAGGGGCTGGCAGGGCCCTGACTGCCTGGCTATGGGAAGGGGCTCGTCTCCAGGGGTCTGGCAGAGGCTGGAAACAGCCTGGGGGTTTCCTTTGGAGATGGCTAGCTTTCCTTGCCCTGTGACGATCTCTTTCGGCACCAGGGTCTCACCTGGGTGTATTGGAAATGGGGGAAGCAGAGAAAATGGGCAGGCACGGAAGCAACGCCAGTCCATTCCCGGCAGCCTCATAAACTTCCAGTGCCATTTCCTCCTTCAGGCCCCAACTGCGAAATCAACCTGGATGACTGTGCCAGCAACCCCTGCGACTACGGCAAGTGCATAGACAAGATTAACAGCTACGAGTGCACCTGCAAGCCTGGCTACACAGGTGAGGCCTGGCTTCGGCCACTGCAGGGGGGGTGGCACGTAAACAGTGCCAGTGCCAGCTCAGACATGCTAGCGGCTGGTGGGTCTGGGAATCGTATCCGGCCTCTTTGCTGCTGACACACAGCCAGGCGGGGATGGGGGAAGACAGGACAAAATGATTAGTATTTCTCTTATGGCTGGGCCTAGCCTCCATAAGGGTCCTGGCCCCGCTGCCCTCAATATCACGTATGCACATGTAGTTAAAGGAGAGTCCCTGTCCCTGAGAGCATCCTGTGGGCAGGAGATCAGTATTAACAGGGAAACATTAATTTGAAGACTTTCAAGTGCTGAGCCTTGTTCCCCAAGAGAAGCAGGTGCCTGGTGCTGGAGAGAGACATTCCCAAAGGGCGCCTGGTTCCAGATGCCTTGTTTTCCATGGACCTGATAAGGATGAAGGGGGTGGGCTTCCCAGGGGCAGGTGCTCGGCACCACCAGCGCCTTGCATGTCAGGCACCACGTGCACGGGAAGCTCTCGAGAAGGAGCGTGGTGCAGCGCTCTGCCTCACTAACTTCTGCAGCTTTCACATTTGGCCGCAGAGGCCAGGACTCCCGCTTGCTCCAGTGGGGGACTTAAAAAGAGGGAACCGCGTGCTGTTGATGGGGCTCCAGCTCCATTGGTCCCATGGGTATCAGGTTGCAGCCTCCTCACACTGATTTGTTTGATCGCCCCTGGAAAATGCGTGCGTCCTTTGATATGAGCAGACCCCGGCTGGCTCCCTGCTCACCTGCGGCATTGCAGAGCCCCTTTGTCCTGCTGCCTGCCCAAGGGTTTGAATAGGGCCTTTTCATCAAGCCGCGGCAGGTAGAGTTACAGGCTGCGATGGCTCCCCTTCATTTCTGCTTCCTGCAGCCAGGGGAGCTTGCAAGATGGCTCCTCTCCCTGCAGGTGAATCTGAGTAAGTGAAGAGGATGATCATTGCCTCGCAGGTGCACACAGTGTGCCTGGGAGACTCGGCCCGCTCCATCAAATGCTCTTCCAGGCAGGCGCAGTTTCCATTGCAGCCGGGGGGGGTTCTGCTTGCGTACCCTGTGCCCCCAACATGACAGTGCTCCCAGGATGCAATCGTGGCTCGAGAAGGTGATGCTTTACTAAACTTACTCTTTCCAGGGCGGATGTGCAACATCAACATTGATGAGTGCGCTAGCAACCCTTGCCACAATGGCGGTACCTGTAAGGACAGTATCAATGGCTTCACCTGCATCTGCCCCGAAGGGTACCATGACCCCAAGTGCCTGTCGGAAGTGAACGAGTGTAACAGCAACCCCTGCATCCATGGGAAATGCAATGATGGACTTAACGGGTATGTCTGCAAAGGGCCCTTGGAGTTCTTTACTGAAGCTGTTTGAATGTTAATCACCCATTCGGGCGAGGGACCAATGGCTCCCCGGAGGCTTAGAGCAGTGATTCTCAGCTAGGGGTGCCGCAGAATCCTTTTAAGGGTGGCATACTCCTGGGTGTGCAAACACCTACGCATGATTTACAAGACACACCCAGGGATTTCAAACAGGATTGCATCGTGTCAGAAATGTTCTGATCTGCTGTGGTCTTTGCAACAGAAGAATTGCTCTAGTATTTTCCCTAGTCCAGAAACTACTGAGAGCTAAGGGCTGGCATTTTCCGAGGAGGGCCTTGAGTCTGTTGAGCTTGAGAACCACTGGGTAAGAGGAAGGACAAGCTGGTGCTGACTTGTCTTTGCTCACATAGCTCTGCTAGTGCCTCCGGAAATCCCTGAATCACATGGTTGTTTCATTTTTCAGGCCCCAGCTTAGCTCTGGCAACACACCCAAGTCTTGATGTGAAGCTACCCCCAGGCCTTGGCTTCCACATCTGACTTGGTGACCAGATCCCCTTTCTGATGCGAGAGCTAACTGCTGTTGAAGTCCCTGGCTTGTCCTGAGCAAAGGCTGCCAAGCAGTCCCACAGCCACCATGGTTTGGGTAAACTGGGCATAGGCACTTCCATTTGCATCCTTAAACCCGGTTCCAGCTGGGGTTTTGGGATAGGAAAGGCTGTTGCACCTTGCACCTTTCTTGCACCAATAAAATGTGCCCAAGCAGTGATTGGTTGCTCTGGTTAATACTGGTCTGTTAATTGATGCAGTTTTATTAACGGGCTTCTTTCTTCCAGAGCTCCAGTTCTATAGCTGCCAAATCATCTAGTGCTAGCAAAAAGCTCTGGAGTCTGGTTACATGTGCCTTAATTTTACTAATTAAAGAAAGACAAAGGAAGGCTGAGCCAGGTGTGGGAGGAAGCGGAGAGCTGGCTGCGGTGCTTTACACCTTGATTTCTTCCCAAAGCTACAGGTGCGATTGCGACCCGGGCTGGAGCGGGACCAACTGCGACATTAACAACAACGAGTGTGAATCCAATCCCTGCATGAATGGAGGCACCTGCAAGGACATGACCAGTGGCTACATCTGTACCTGCCGGGAGGGCTTCAGCGGTAAGGGCTAAACTGAGGGAAAGCCGCAGCTCTCGATGCCCATGGCACAGGGCGTGGGTGAGCGCTGTGACTGAACGTTTCCATGCCTGGGTTTGTGGAACAGCAGCTGCAGGAGAGGCGATGGCACGTGGGTCACTGGCGCATGGGTCATAAGGTGGGATCTCACCTGGGACTTTCAGTGCTAAAAGGAGTCTGCACAGCCTGAGCCAAAGGGACCACTGGCAGCAGCAGTAGGCTTTTTGCCTCTTATGCGAAGCGAGCGTTTCCCAGGAGGCTGTGAGGGGGTCTGACCTTTCTGCGCATCACGGCCACCACCTACGCAGCCTCCGTAGCTCCCCATTGTGCCACCCCCCTTCTGCAGAGGGAGCGTCTGTCCAGGGGTCTGCTCGTGCACTCACGCCTGCTTGGTTTTTGCAACGCAGGGCCCAACTGCCAGACCAACATCAATGAGTGCGCCTCCAACCCCTGCCTCAACCAGGGCACCTGCATCGATGACGTTGCCGGCTACACCTGCAACTGTCTGCTGCCATACTCGGGTAAGGCTGCAGCCTCCTCGCTGCGTTTTCTTCGCAGTCCATAAACTAACAGCCGCTAGTGCCCTTGAAATTTCTCCCATGCCCAGCACACAGAGGGTTGGGTCCTCTCCTGGCGTAAATCAGTGAGGCTACGCCAACTTTCTTGGAGCTCACGGCCACTGAGGGTACCAGCAAAGCACCGAGGCATCCCCTGGCTGGTGTGACCGGGACTCCCTGCAGAGTGCCCGGTCCCATCCCTTGTTGGCTCGGCCCAGTCCAGCCTTAGACAAGGAAACTCGAAGGAGCTCTCGGAAGCAGGAGGGTGGGCTGCGTGGATCCGTCCCCTTTTGGGCAAGGTGCCTGAACCAAGGGAGAAGTCAAGTCATTGGCCAGCAGCCGCCCGCCGCCCATTCAGCTCCTGGTCTGGCACAGCGTTGTTTCAGAAACCGCGCCGCGGCCCATCTGGGTCCCGTCCCAACCCCTTTGCGGGACCTGTTTTGTGAGCAGCTCTGTTTACCCGCCGACTCTCCTTTTGGAAAAACAGACATCAGCTCACCGGGATAATGGCCGGCCGATTCCTGCGAGGGGGGGCAGGAATTTCTGCTGACCTGATTCCTGTTTGCCCGTTTCCTTCCCCTCGCGCAAAATGGCAACATGTGCACAATTGTAGGAAGCCATGACCGGTTTCCTGCCTTCGCCAGTCCCCGTAGAGACAAATGGGGGAGGCGAGGAGGGGAAGGCTCTGGGAAATAGCAGAGGCCAACTGAGAAGATAATGGCTGACAGGGAAGATAAGGTTTTGAAGGGACCCTTGGCTGCTGTGTAAACAGGAAACGCGACCCGTGGGGGGAGGAGGAAGATGCCCCCTGCATTAGCACTTTCTTTTCCCACCCAGCTTTGCTTGGGATGCACCGCAGGGTGCTAATATGGAGAAGCTGGAATGGGGGAGCTCAGGACTTCCAAGACCCTCCCAGTCCCCCCCACACACACAGACACTCACATGGTGGGGGAGCCTTGCAGAAATAGCCCCACGCCACACTCCTTCCCAGCACCTCACTGCTGGAAGGTCTCCAAGCGGCAGGTCACTGCGCTATACAAAGGCTCGTCAGGCTCTCAAAGAGCTGGGGGGATCCTGACGTGACTCGGGAGGGCGGTGGAGGAAGCCCAGGCTGCTCTGTGCTAGCTGAGCGCTGGAAGGAGCCCAGGAGTTCTTGGGGAGCATTAGACGTCCCATGCCTGGGGCAACAAGCCTCACCCGTGCATGCATCCCTCTCTCTCTTCTCAGGGGCAACGTGTGAGGATGTGCTGGCCCCCTGTGCCAACAGCCCCTGCAAGAACGGGGGTGAGTGCCGAGAGTCGGAAGATTACGAGAGCTTCTCCTGCGTGTGCCCCTCGGGCTGGCAAGGTACGGGGAGCATCGCCAGCGCCCCTGCCCCTGTCGTGGGGCAAGTGTCGGGAGGGTGCAGGTGCCTCTTGGCCGGGCAGCAATTTTGGGCTTAACCCCTGCCCTAGTCCTGTTCCCTGCAGCTCAGAGAACATAAGAAGCAGCCTGGGAGTAGGTCTAGTTGTTAGATTAGGGACCTGGGAGTGTGTGCCTCCGCCCTGCCACTTACTGTGTGACCTGCCTCGGCTGCTCTGCGCTCCAGCCTGCGCCTTTCCTGCGGGGGTAATAAAACCCTTCACAGGGGTGTCTTGATGCTTAACCACGCGTGGGCCAGGGCCTCACCTGGCCTCAAGCAGCCTTGTCCCATGGACTGTTCCCCCAGTTTGTCAAGGGAATTTGGCCCCCGGGTTGGGAAAAATGCAGAAAAATCACAACAGGGCTGAGACGGTCGTGAAGTTTTAGGGCCTTTCCAGAGAAGCGAGTCAGAGCACTTGGCAGCTGCGCCCGTGGGAACAGGCGGCGGCTCATGGTTGTGTGCAGCGTCCTTCAAGGACACATTCAGTGCTGGAGGAAACGGGGGTTGCAGCACTAAGGAGCCCCCATCCCCATCTGTGCCACAGGCCAAACGTGCGAGATCGACATCAACGAGTGTGTGAAGAGCCCCTGCCGCAATGGCGCCACGTGCCAGAACACCAACGGGAGCTACCGCTGCCTCTGCAAGGCAGGCTACAGCGGCCGCAACTGCGACACCGACATCGATGACTGCAAGCCCAGTAAGAGCCGGGCCGGGCGCTGTTCCCCGCGGCCGCGGAGGTCCTTCCTGGCGTCTGGCATGGGCTGCTCAGCAGAGCCGCTGCAATGCAGGGCGGCGGCAGGGATGGCTCTGGGGGGGCTTCAGAGGGGTTCGGCTGGTCCCGCGTGGATCGGACAGGAAGGATTTAGGAGGCGGGAGCAGGTGGGGCCGTTGCAACGTGCAGCTGCAAGGCAGGGGTGCAGTGCAGAGCAGAGAGAGGAGATTTGCTTCACGGGGATCTCTTTGAGCCTGTGCGCCAGCAGCTCCTCCCGGGGGCAGCTGAGGTGGGAAATAATGTGGACATCATGGTATCTAGATGTCCTTGAAGGAGCTGTAGCCCGTGTCCAGCGCCCCGGGCTCAGTTCCCTCTGCTCTGCACCGTGGGGCATCCCACGAGGCCGGCCCTGAGGAGGGTGCTCGTCAGCAGAAGCTCTCTGCCTCCCCTGCGGCTCCGGGGCTGGGCTCCGCTGACCGCCGGGGGACGGGTTTCCCTTTCAGACCCCTGCCACAACGGCGGCTCCTGCTCCGACGGCATCGACGCCTTCTTCTGCGAGTGCCTGGTGGGCTTCCGGGGGCCCAAGTGCGAGGAGGACATCAACGAGTGCGCCAGCAACCCCTGCCGCAACGGCGCCAACTGCACCGACTGCGTCAACAGCTACACGTGCACCTGCCCCTCCGGCTTCAGCGGGATCCACTGTGAGAACAACACGCCCGACTGCACCGAGAGGTAATGGCCTGGGAGGGGACTAGACCCCCTGCTGCCTCCAAGGGGCAGCAAGTGGACATACCCAGGGGCATGTATGTGGGGTGGGGGGTGGGAAGGACCCTCATGAGGACAGGAGACCAGGGGAGGGAAGTCTCTCCGAGTTGTTAAGTGGCCGCCTCCCTGCAGAGATGCATCTGGGCCATTCATAGTGGGACCTGGAGGTCTTGGACCAGCACAGGTGGAAAAGCCGCTGGTGATTTCAGTCGCAAAGCTCCCTCGGCCTTCAGTGGGATCTGGGCCTGGCCCAAGGGACCGGGCTGCCGTGTAAATAGCTTAGCGTAGAACGTGGCTCTTCAGAGGGGATCCAGTCAACTGGGGGGTCTTGCATAGCAGGAGCATCAGATACATAGCAGCCCCATGCCCTGCTCTGGCATTAGCGGCTGAGCTCAGAGAGGGACAGCTCAGGAAGGGGCTCAGCTGCCTGGCCCTCCACTTCCCCATGAACCGGTTTCTGTGCATCAAGGGGCCTGGGGAGCTGGGACGCCAAGCAAGCAGGAGCAGCGGTTTATGTGGAAGCTATGTTTGCTCTCCCCCCAGCTCCTGTTTCAACGGGGGGACCTGTGTGGACGGCATCAACACCTTCACCTGCGTGTGCCCGTCCGGCTTCACAGGCAGCTACTGCGAGCATGACATCAATGAGTGCGACTCCAGGCCCTGCCTGAACGGGGGCACCTGCCAGGACAGCTACGGGACATACAAGTGCACCTGCCCGCAGGGCTACACCGGCCTCAACTGCCAGGTATGGAGCAGATGGCCTGTTAGTGCTGCGGGACCGGACCTGCATCCTGCCAGACCGTTTCTACTAGCTAAGGATTTGTCCCTGTCCTGGGTTGCTGCAGCCCTACTCATTTCACCTCTGGGGCTCCTTCTCTTCCAGAACCTGGTGCGCTGGTGCGACTCTTCGCCCTGCAAGAACGGGGGCAAGTGCTGGCAGACCAACAACCTGTACCGCTGCGAGTGCAACAGTGGCTGGACAGGCCTCTACTGCGATGTCCCCAGTGTATCCTGCGAAGTGGCTGCCAAGCAGCAAGGTAACACCTGGCTTTACTGTTTGGTTTGAAGCAAGAGCCTCCTGGGGTCTTGTAAACGCTCAGATGTTTAGCATCCGATTGCCTGAGAATGGGGTGACCCTCACTCAGCCCCGGGTCTGGGGGAATGAGAGGCAGGGGTGGCTGTGCATTGCCTCTGTGCTTCCCCAGTTGCCAGCTCAGCCTCTGGTGCAAGGTAGAGCAGCTTCAGGGCTGCTCTAAGTTACACCAACTCAGCATTTCCCCTCCCTGGATAGTGGCACTTGGGAGAAACGCCCAAAGTGCTGCATCCTGAAGGACTGAGCTTTTTAACTCATGCTTCGTAGCCCAAAGGGTGTGAAACTCATGCTTCCAGGTTTTGCTCATTGCCACAAGGGGCTGGGAAGGGATTATTTTCCCCTTCCGATTGCTGTGCACATCAGGGGGCGGGAGGGAGGGATTCACTGGGTGTTGGCTGCAGCTTGGGATGGTGACAGGGCTGTGCCCATGCTTCTGCTGGGACGTAAACCCAGAGGTTCCTGACTAAAGTGTCTTGCTCCTTTGCTCAGGGTCAGGCCATATTTGGGATCAAGAAAGGATTTTGCCCCATGGTTGGATCGGTACAGACAGTTGGGGGGTTGCCTTCCTATGTAGCGTGGGACATGGCCCTCTTCCTTGGATTTCTCCAGCATATTTTAACCATCTTTGCAGCTGCAGGATGTTGGCCTCCATGATCCCCCTGCTTTACCCGTGGCAGGTTCAGGCATTATCTCTTGTCAGGGTTGACAGTGCAGTTTTGCTAAGAGGTTGGACAATGGGTTTGGACAGGGCTGCTCCTGCCTCAGGCAGGGGGTTGGACCAGACGTGACCTCCAGAGGTGCCTTCCAGCCTGACTTCTCTGTGATCCGATGACTCCTGGCCCCGCTCTGTGCAAATGTGGCCTGGCGTTCCTGGAGTGGCTCGCGTCTCACTGTGAGCTCTCTGGCCTTGTGCTCTCGCAGGGATCGACGTGGCACATCTGTGCAGGAACTCCGGCCTCTGCGTGGACACGGGCAACACTCACTTCTGCCGCTGCCAGGCCGGCTACACGGGCAGCTACTGCGAGGAGCAGGTGGACGAGTGCTCCCCGAACCCCTGCCAGAACGGAGCCACCTGCACTGACTACCTGGGAGGCTACTCCTGCGAGGTACGCCGCCCGGCCGGAGTGGGTTACGCACGCGCCGTGTCGCTCTGGGAGGTATAGTGAGAGCAGAGGCCTGGGGGACCGGCGTCCTGGGTTCTAGTCCTGCCTCTCCACTGCCCCTGAGACGTGGCCCTTCCCATGCTGCTGCTCTTGCCATCAGGAAAATGGGATCAGTTCATCACAAGACATTAGCAGTGTGCTGAGATCTGCAGGTGGAAATAGCAGCATCCATGCTACTCGCTGCCTTTCTGTCGGACTTTTCCTGCCATCTTTGTCTCGCAGAGATGACCACATCCTGTGGTTTGCTTAAGATGAAGCAGTTTGCAGCTGCTTTTGTCTTTAGCACTGAGGTGCAGGTATTGTTGCTGAGGGTAGGGAAAGCTGCCCTTGGCCCATGCATTGGCTCTTTTGGCCACAGCTCCCCATGTAGCAGCTCAAGGGGAAGCAGAGATGTTCCCATAACATGGTGCCTGGCGCACTACAGGAGTCTTGGACCCCCACGTTCAGTATCAGGGTGGATATAACTGATGGCTTCCTTGCTTTTCCCTGGTAGTGTGTTGCTGGCTATCATGGAGTTAACTGCTCCGAGGAGATCAATGAGTGCCTGTCTCACCCCTGCCAGAATGGAGGAACCTGCATCGATCTCATCAATACCTACAAATGCTCCTGTCCCAGAGGCACTCAAGGTAAATGAATTCCCCTGGCAGGAGGAAGCCGTGCAGAGGGCAGATACCCTTGGTATCTGGTCATTAGCATCTGCACGTACCCACTGCTCTGAGGGAAGAAGCAAATGCAGTAACAGGAGGCTGAATTGGCTCATTAACAGAGCCAGTGAGGACATATAACCTTGGGGCCACTCTGCCAGAGGCTTTTGGGCCCCGGAGCTTACACCCCTGCTGTGCATCGGGTGGGATGTTGGCAAGCAGCTTCTGGGCTCACAGGGTGAGACCCCACCCGTGACTTGCCCATTTCTGTCTGACCACAACTGTGTTGCCCCCTGCCCCCGCTCTCGCCCCCCAGGGGTGCACTGTGAAATCAACATTGATGACTGCAGCCCGTTTTTCGACCCCGTCACCCTGGGGCCCAAGTGCTTCAACAACGGCAAGTGCACAGACAGGGTGGGTGGCTACAGCTGCATCTGCCCGCCCGGCTTCGTTGGGGAGCGCTGCGAAGGGGACGTCAACGAGTGCCTGTCCAACCCCTGCGACACGCGCGGCACCCAGAACTGCGTGCAGCGCGTCAACGATTACAAGTGCGAGTGCCGGCCGGGGTATGCAGGTGAGTGCACCCCCTTGCTCCTGCCGCTCCTCCCTGCCAGGGAGCCCCGCTGCTGTGGGCAACACGTCACACTCGTGCCGGCTTTCTCTCTCCCTGCAGGGCGCCGCTGTGACACCGTGGTGGACGGCTGCAAAGGCAAGCCCTGCAGGAATGGTGGAACGTGTGCGGTTGCCAGTAACACCGGCCGTGGCTTCATTTGCAAATGCCCCCCTGTACGTACCCGCTACCCCCTGGATGGCATGGGACAGTGCTGGTGGGAGGGTGGATGGGATGAGCCAGTGGCCCCTTCAGGCTTCAAAGCTAGGAGGCCTGGTGTGGAACGTGAAATAAATGCTCCAGGGGGAACCCGAAAGCCTCTGGCCAACAGGCTGGATTTCACGAACCTTACTGCAGCAGCGAGCAGTGATTCACTGGAGTGATCCTGTTGTATTCAGTGGGACTCCTCGTGTGAGCAGAGTGGCTGGCCAGTGCGAATTGAGGGGCTCACAGTCTGGCCTCAGATAGTGAGGGCGCCAGGGGCTCTGATATCTAGGACTGAGGGTGTGAGAGCTGTAATGATGGCAGAGGGAGAGGGACAGGGGTTGTTGCTGGCATCCCCTGGCAGGAGGAGTGCCCGCTACTATCCCTCTCTACAAGGTCAGGCAGATTTGTGGGGGGTGTCAAGGGAAAACGCCCTAGCACTGTGACCTGCAAGGGCTCCCTCCACAGCTTGGGAAAACACCATGAGTTTGCCTCTTTAATGCTGCTCGAGTGATCCTCTAGGAGGGACTGCCGGCTGCAGGTCACGGTGGAGGAGTTGCTGGTCACTGAGCAGCTACCATTTCAGTTCATGTGCAGAGGCTGCACCCTCGGCTTGCTGTGGTTTGAGTTGTTCGGTGCCAAATTCCCAGTTAACTTTCAATGGACCCTGTGCACCCGGGCTCCCGTACGCTCCTGAACCTCATGGCCATGTGGGACACTCGCAGCTCCAGGGTCGCACTTACGAGGAGGGGAGCATTAGGCATCTGCTGAAGAGCTGGGGGGCAGAGCAGTGCACTGAGTCACTGCCCTGCTTACGCTGTGCATCCGTCCTGCCCAACACTGCAGGCCCAGGCAGCGCGCCGCCAAGAACGCTAACCTTCTCCCCCTTGCTCTGGTCCCCCCAGGGTTTCGTCGGGGCCACCTGTGAAAATGATGCGCGCACCTGCGGGAACCTGCACTGCCTGAACGGTGGCACCTGCATCTCCATCCACAAGAGCTCCAAGTGCATGTGCGCACCAGCCTTCACGGGGCCGGAGTGCCAGTACCCGGCCAGCAGCCCCTGCATTTCGAACCCCTGCTACAACGGGGGCACCTGTGAGTTCTTCAGCGAGGCGGCTCCCTACTACCAGTGCAGCTGCCCCACTAACTTTAATGGCCTGAACTGCCACATCCTCGATTTCGACTTCCCTGGCGGGTTGGGCCAGGACATCATCCCGCCCAAGATCGAGGAGAAATGCGAGATCCCCGAATGCGCGGGGTACGCCGGCAACAAGATCTGCGACGGGAAGTGCAACAACCACGCCTGCGGCTGGGATGGAGGGGACTGCTCCCTCAACTTCAACGACCCCTGGAAGAACTGCTCCCAGTCGCTGCAGTGTTGGAAGTACTTCGATGACGGGAAGTGCGATTCCCAGTGCAACAATGCTGGCTGCTTGTACGATGGCTTCGACTGCCAGAAGGTGGAAGGGCAGTGCAAGTAAGTGACCTGGTCCCCATCCCGCAGCCCTGTCAAGCTGTGATCTCTAGGCTTATGGACAACTGCTTCCTTTGTATTTAACAGTGCTTTGCCTCTCCCTGTTGTACATCATGTGGGGCCAAATCTCAAGCAATGGCAGCATCCGTTGACCTCCATGGGAGTTGGCTCCTCCCGACTGCCTTGTATGCCCCCATGGCCCCTGCTGGCTTCCTGGCTTGCATCCTTGCCAGTTGTTCATCCTACATAGAAATTCACCCCTCAGGTGTAGAGCAGGAGCGTGCTGAGTCCTTGAGGACTGGGATGAGAACGACAGCAAAAAAGCAGTGTGGTGCTCTGTGAAATGGGTCTAGGGTTAGTAATACAGGCATTTGCTGGACGTTTATGTTTGCAGTAGTAGGATTGCTGTTTGGGTAATTGTAATCCGTTCCCATCAGTCATGGCCTTCACTCCCTGTCCTGAATTGCTGCTAGCAGTATAACTGCCATGACTTTTCACCCCAGAGGTGGTTGCTTTTCTGTGTCGCAAAAAGCAGTTTCCTTCTTGGTCAGCTGTCCAGGATCTAACTGGGGGAGGAGCGCTGCAGCTATGGGAGAGGGCTCCCTAGATCGCGAGTCGTTCTCCTCCTGGGTGGTAAGAAGAGCGGCTCTGTGTCTAACATTTTCTCTCCCTTCTGCCTAGCCCTCTGTACGACCAGTACTGCAAAGATCACTTCTCGGATGGGCACTGCGACCAGGGGTGTAACAATGCCGAGTGCGAGTGGGACGGGCTGGACTGTGCCAACAACATGCCGGAGAAACTCGCCGATGGCACGTTGGTTGTGGTGGTGCTGATCACCCCGGAGAACCTAACGAACAACTCCTCCCACTTCCTTCGGGAGCTCAGCCGTGTGCTCCACACCAACGTGGTCTTCAAGAAGAACGCCCAGGGCGAGTATATGATCTTCCCCTACTATGGCAATGAGGAGGAGCTGAAGAAGCATCACATCAAGAGGTCCACGGAGAACTGGTCAGACATGCCCAGCGCTGTCTTCAACAAGCTGAAGACATCCCTGTACTCCAGCGCTGGCAGGAGGCAGCGGAGAGAGCTGGATCAGATGGACGTCAGAGGGTGAGGGCGCTGGGGAAGAGGTTTTTCTCTCCTCTGGCTGAACAGCAGTCCCTTTGCTTTATTGGTACCCAGCACCTGCTGGAAAGGAAAGGCTGTGGGTCAGGGTGTTTCACTCTGGTTTTGCTTTAAAGAGGAGCCAAAACTAGAGTTCCCTTCTGCAAGGGAAAAGTCGTGACAAAGGAGAAAGCGGGGCAAGTTTCTGGTTGATTGGTTGGCTGGTGCCACTACTGCTACAAGGAGCAGGCCTAAGGGAGTGTTGTATGCTAGGGGTCAGGGCAAGGGAGGCCAGGGACTGGAGGTCAGGCGTAGGAAGTCAGGTACTTGAGCCTGGCATTGTCCATGAGTGATACTGGCTCTCAGGTCATGTTATGAGGTTGAATTGCTACCCAGTTGTAAACCCGGGGTGATCCTTGGTTTGACTGCAAAGGACCTCGTTCTCCTCCCGCTCATGCTGGTGTGGATCAAAAGTGGCTAAATCCAATGGTGTTGCAATGCTGCAGCACCGGGGGAAGAAGAGACGCTGGCCCCACACAGCAGCTGCATTTACTGTGAGAGATCTCCTCGTGGTGCTGAGCATAGACACATGGCTGAATCCCAGTGCCCTCAGTCAAATACCAGCTGAGCTGTCATCAGTGAGAGTTTTGCCTAAGTTCGGCCTGGAGGATTTAAGCTGATCACGAGTCAAAAACTTCCCACCTTCCCTCTCCTCCTCCTTCTGGTGTGGGGCTGTGGGGAGACCGGAGTCAGGCCCTTTCTTCAGTCTGATCATTGCTCCTCGTCTCCCTTTCCCCTTCTGCCCAACAGCTCCATCGTCTACTTGGAGATCGACAACCGTCAGTGCATCCAGTCCTCTTCCCAGTGCTTCCAGAGCGCAACCGATGTGGCCGCTTTCCTGGGTGCCTTGGCCTCTCTCGGCAATCTGAACATCCCCTACAAAATAGAGGCTGTTAAAAGTAAGTGTAGCCAGCAGCGGCCGGGGGGATTGAGATGGGAAGGACCGAAACTTCCCAGCGCACGTCCGCGATCCAATTAGCAGCCAGCCGAGCTCAGAGCGTTGTATCCAGAGACAGTCTGGATTTAATAACCTTGACTCTCTCTCTTTTTTTTTTTTTTTTTTAAACTATGTTGTTAAACTATTGCTGCATTATGTTTTATTTTGCTTAGTCCAGGTTTACTTGAAAATCATTAGAGCTATAAAAGACAAAAAAAAAAATCCCAGCTCCAATCAATGAGTGACATGCCAGGAGTTGAAGTTTGTATCTTGAAAATCCCCCTAAATCCTTCTGCCTTAACAGCTCAATGCGAGAGCAGTGATTTGAAGTTGGTTAATCCTTTTCCTGAAAGGAGAAAAAAAAGTGAAGCTGTCTCCTGATGCAGCCAGCTTGTGCAGAGGAGAATTTGCCGATAGTTAGCAATTCTGATTAATAGCCTATAAAATGACCTTATTTTGGGGGATGATTTAGATCTGCCCGAGGTACCTTTATTTAACTAATTTCACTTCATTTTCGCTCCATCACTGGTTTGATATGCAGCTTAATGTCTCAGTTTCTCTGGGCGCCCCATTCTTTTCTAGGTGAAACAGCAGAGCCGCCCAGGAACTCCCAGCTATATCCTATGTATGTGGTGGGGGCTGTGCTCGTCTTGCTTGCCTTCATTGGAGTGGGGGTGCTGGTATCTCGGAAGCGACGCAGGGAGCATGGGCAGCTCTGGTTCCCAGAAGGCTTCAAAGTGACAGAGTCGAGCAAGAAGAAGCGACGGGAACCGCTAGGAGAGGATTCGGTCGGGCTAAAGTGAGTAATCTTATTGCTAACCTGTTACTGCGGAGCCCAGCTAGTGATCCAGCGCTGCTTTGAAGGAACCTTTAGAGCCGATCCTTGACAATCCAGTGGGGTAGGGGAAGATTATAGCAAGGTTGTTGCAAGGGGAGAACAATGCACTCATTTTCTGGGGATTTAAATACTAGGCAATCAGTGTGCCATTAGTTAAAATCCAGAGAAGCTTCATGGCAGGGAGCAATTCTTGGAAACTGCCCTGCTGATTGCTGCTTTTTGCATTTGCATGTGGAGGATCTGACCCATCATACCACAGCTGTGGCAGAAGGTTCCCTTCTGAAGTGTTTCCTTATTTAATTTAGACCTCTGAAAAATGCATCGGATGGCACCTTGATGGATGACAACCAGAATGAATGGGGCGATGAGGAGACCTTGGACACCAAGAAGTTCAGGGTGAGTTGATAAAACTGCTTCTCGTGCAGCTGCGAGTGCAGCACACCCACGGTCCCAGCTGTGGAGCGGGGCTGAGAAGTCGCAGAATGGCTCACTCCAAGGGCCGCTGGCCATGCCACTCCCTTCTTCCCAAGGGTGCAAATGCAGCTGCAGGTCTCCCCAAGCTCTAGTTTTAATCCCACTTCTTCTACATTCTCTTTCATTGTCCTTGAAGTCCTCATACCACAGTTTGATTTAAATTTCATTGTCCTTGAAGTCTGTGCCCTTCTGTCCCTTTGCAGTTCGAGGAACAGGCGATGCTGCCAGACACGGACGATCAGACAGATCACAGGCAGTGGACCCAACAGCACCTAGATGCAGCTGACCTCCGGATTTCCTCCATGGCACCCACACCGCCGCAGGGAGAAATCGATGCAGACTGCATGGATGTCAACGTGCGAGGGCCTGGTAGGGGAGAGCCTTATGTCTTCCTGCCGTGTTGGTCTCATGTCACGATCCCCTCTTCCCTTGTTTCCCGCGGCGAGGGGGCCTCTGGGAGCTGTGCTGCACACCATGTTGTCACATTGCACGCTAATGCCTGCCTGTGCATAAGCTAACATAAAGCGCCCCACCTGGGAGTCTTTCCAGGTCATATCTGTTATGCCTGAGTTCAGGTAACATGCCCCTGTGGAATTTGGTTTGCTTTAAGATCTCTTTCTATTTAACCACAAAGAGGGAAGTCAGAGAGCCCGAGAGGTTAGAGACAGGGGGGAAATACCTTTTAGCTGATCCAATCCATGTCTTTGCCAATACAGGATTCTTCCCCATAGGATGTGTCAGGGTGTTTTCTTACCTAGTCAAGTTTAACCATTCCAAGCACCCCTGCCTCCTTGGGAAATGTATTTCATAGCCAAACTGTCTTGGCAGACTTCTGAATTTCAGGACTCTTCTGCATGGCACCTTCCAGGTAAAAGGGGCTGCATAGTGCTTGAGGGAAAGGCATCCAAGACTCCCAGGTAAAATAGGGAAACCTATGAGTGGATACAGAAGGAGGATTACATCCATACCCACGTGAGAGGAAGGGTGATAGCATTTGATGTCTGGGATTGTCAGGAACCAGAGCTCGCTGTGCCATGAGCTCAAGGAGCTGCTGCTTATGCCTCATGGCTGCATTAAAACATCTTGTTGGGATAGTCTGCACTGGAGAAGGGCAAAAAGCTGCTGTTCACTGGGTGTCTCTCTGCTTTCCAGATGGCTTCACCCCACTTATGATAGCCTCCTGCAGCGGAGGAGGGCTGGAGACCGGCAACAGCGAAGAGGAGGACGATGCGCCGGCTGTCATCTCAGATTTCATCTACCAGGGCGCCAGCCTGCACAACCAGACAGACCGTACTGGGGAGACAGCGCTGCACCTGGCTGCCAGGTACTCCCGCTCCGATGCTGCCAAGCGCCTGCTGGAGGCCAGCGCCGATGCCAACATCCAGGACAACATGGGCAGGACGCCTCTGCACGCAGCTGTCTCAGCGGATGCCCAAGGAGTCTTCCAGGTATGTCAGCCTGCTGGGGGCTTCTGCTAGGGATCCCAAGCTGCTGGGCCATGTACCAGCACTGTGTGCTGGCCGTCAGCCCTGCGACATCTGTTTGTTCATCTTGCCCCAGAGTCTGTGCCCTGGCTTTTCAGAGGCAGCTTTGATTTCCCTGGAAAGTCTCCTGAGTCTGGGTCTTAGGATTTGCTGAGACACTGAGTGCTAAGGGGACAGTGTCCAGAGCCCCCTTATTAACAGCAGGACAGGTAGAGCACAGCAGGATGGTGCTTTCTCAGTGCTGCCCTGCTAATGTGCTCTTTCCCTAGACTGGACGGGCCAGCTGTAGGCACAGGAAGGGTAGTGCTGGCCCTGTCAGCCCTGGAGCTCACCGAGGATCCCAGCAAAGGGGCTGGAGGTTTGGGGACTGGGGAAGACCAGCTTTCTCACTTAACGTATGGTCGTCATCTCCGTGCACACAGATTCTGATTAGAAACAGAGCTACCGATCTGGATGCCCGCATGCACGATGGGACCACCCCTCTGATCCTGGCTGCCCGCCTGGCTGTGGAGGGCATGTTGGAGGATCTGATCAATTGCCACGCAGACGTCAATGCCGTGGATGACCTAGGTACTGCTTTAATCCAGAACGCAAGACACTCTGTCGGGGATTGATGTCAGGGACTTGTAGCTGGTGTTTTAACTGCTCACTAATGCACTCTGTCTTTCACCAACTTCCTCCACAGGCAAATCAGCACTGCACTGGGCAGCTGCTGTGAATAATGTTGAAGCTGCAATAGTGCTGCTGAAGAACGGTGCCAATAAAGACATGCAGAACAATAAGGTAGGTGGTCTGGGTGGGCACCTCAGGTAAGTCATTGGGAGGCTTCCAGATGCTCTGATGCATACCTGGTTTTTTGTGAAGTTAGTGGGAGTTGAATTGAAACAGCAGCCCAAGACCTGGTCCATTAGGTAGTGAGATCCATGCAGTGGCAGATAAGGGCTAAGCCATAAATGGGAACTTGCTTACCTCCCGACAGGCAGTGAGAACCTGACTGTGCATGAGATGCGGGAAATGACTCCACAGAATTAAAACATGGAGGCTTTCCGCCAAGTGTTGCTCTGAACCTAACCAGAAAAAGAGTAGCCAATACACACCGGGCCAGGGCACAACCCACATCCCAGATCCTTGCCTCATCTCCCAGGTGCCCCTTTTGCAGCTTGTGTCCTTCATACTAGAGCCATGCCAGGGTGCTTGCTACTCTGCCCCTGCCCTTTTCCTTTTGTTTGGGGTCAATCTGCTGAGCCTAGCAACTGCTTAGACAGCTACTGAGCTTCCTAGTTAGTACCAGTGTCTACAGATCTAACTAGGAATGCGAGGGCTGTGCTTATACAGGATACCAGTAAGCTCAGGCATTTCAAAACAAACCATGCTTGCCACATTTCCAGGAGGAGACACCGTTGTTCCTTGCGGCCAGGGAGGGGAGCTATGAAACGGCCAAAGTCCTCTTGGACCACTTTGCAAACCGCGATATCACGGACCACATGGACCGGCTCCCTCGGGACATCGCGCAGGAGCGCATGCACCACGACATCGTGCGGCTGCTGGATGAGTACAACCTGGTACGGAGCCCGCCGCTGCACAACGGGCCGCTGGGTGCCCCCACACTGTCCCCTCCACTCTGCTCTCCCAACAGCTACATCGGCAACTTGAAACCCGCCGTGCAGGGGAAGAAAGCTAGGAAACCAAGCACCAAGGGCCTGAGCTGCAACAGCAAGGATTCCAAAGACATCAAGGCCAGGAGGAAGAAATCACAAGATGGAAAAGGCTGCCTCCTGGATAGCTCCAGCGTGCTGTCGCCGGTGGACTCCCTGGAGTCACCCCATGGGTACCTGTCTGATGTAGCTTCTCCCCCGCTGATGACCTCTCCATTTCAGCAGTCACCGTCCATGCCTCTGAATCACCTGCCAGGCATGCCTGATGCCCACATAAGCATCAATCATCTCAACATGGCTGGGAAGCAGGACATGGCCATGGGCGGCACCAGCAGGATGGCCTTTGATTCGGTGCCTCCACGCCTCTCCCACCTCCCTGTTTCCAGCCCAAGCACGGTGATGAGTAGCACCCCTATGAATTTCTCTGTCAGCGGAGCTGCCAGCCTCAATGGGCAGTGCGACTGGCTGTCAAGGTTGCAGAACGGCATGGTCCAGAACCAGTATAACCCAATGAGAAACAACATGCAGCCAGCGACGCATCAGCAGAATCAAGGCCTTCAGCACGGCATGATGACCTCCCTGCATAACGGCATGCCCACCACGACCTTGTCACAAATGATGAGCTACCAGGCTATGCCAAACACCCGGCTGGCCTCCCAGCCTCATCTGATGCAGCCCCAGCAGTTGCAACAGATGCAGCAGCAGCAGAATTTACAGCAGCAGCTGCAACAGCAAAACATGCAGCCGCCTCAGGGGCCGCAGCCGCAGCCGCCACCATCGCAACAGCAGCATCACGGCGCCGCCTCGAATGCCAGCGGCCACCTGGGCCAGAACTTCCTGGGCAACGAGTTGAACCAGTCAGACATGCAGCCGGTGAGCGGCGGCTCCATGGCAGTGCACACCATCTTGCCGCAGGAGACCCAGATGCTGTCCACGTCTCTCCCATCCACCCTCACGCAGTCCATGACCACCACCCAGTTTTTAACA